ACTAACCCACTAACCACCCCCCAGCCGACAACAGGACCGGTATCATCTCATGCGCGACGCAGTCGCCGGGGCTTTGGATGAATCAGCGTCGACATCGCTCAATAAGGGCGCTTCCCCATCAAGGTTCGCAATGCCGGAGAGCGGCAACGACAGCAAGTTGGCTGCGAAGGCTCGCGCAGTTGCGGTGGCCAAAAGCCCGGACCACCGTCCGACAAAAGCGGCAACGCAAGCAGCTGGTTGCGAAGGGGCTGCTCCACGGGCCCGTGCACGCGCAAGCAACCGGATGAAGGCGGCAGCTTCGGCACTCCAGCAGCCACCAATTTCGAGTCCAAGGACAACCAGTCGACACCGTTGGGCAGCAGCAAGCTCGGGGTAAGTGCGTTCCTTGGCCCGGCTCGCATCGGCCAAGGCTGCACCAGCAGTGTCGCCGCGACGGTGGCGAGGAACTCCGGCTGAGGTGAGGGGCGAGACCAGCGTCTCAACAGCTAGCTGCGAACCTCCCCACAAAGAGAATCCATTAGCGATTACCTCAATTCGTTGACGCTCGTCATGTCTGGATGCGTTGAAGTTCAAGTCCCGGACAAGCACACATTGCTGGTAACAGTCGCGAGCTGCGGCGCTCTCAAAGGGAGACCCCCGTGCCCTAAGGACACCAGATCGAGGGCAGGCAGCAATGTGATCTCCTATGATCTCCTAGAACATCAAGCGGGCGTCGACAATGGCGTCGTATGGCATCGTGCGAGGGCCAAGGGGGAAAGGGAGCCGCAAGCGACGTGGGAGCAACACCCGGAAGAGTGCAGAGTCGAGGGTGAGCTCAAGGGCAGTGGGGCGGACTGCGAGCGACCTGGCAGCGAAGAGGCCAGACTGCGAGTCAGGGAGCGCCAGCTCGGCAACCGTGCCTCGGCGCTCCGCCATGGTGTGGCATGGTCGTCAATGACGCGGGAAGCACGGCGCTGCCAGGCTGCCAGCCCCGACAAGGAACATCCGGGTCGACGTCGTCAGGAACGGGTAACGGGCCTTGTGCGTGCAAGTCCGCCAAGCATGGGGCAACAAAACCAGCCGCTGAAAGCACATCGGATGCGGAGCAGCTCGTCCCGCACGCGCAGGACGGCAACAGCATCCCCCCAGGACGCTCAGAACGGCTGGCCGTCTACCGCCAGGCGCGACACGAGGGTCGTGTCAACCGCAACTTGTAAACCTCCCCACAATGGCAAGCCGTTGGCGATGACCTCTGCAGCGGTCATTCTATCACCCACTCGACATTGAGGTCACGCACCACGAGGTTGAACAGTAGCACCTACTGCACGGCAGGCACGTTCTAGGGGAACGCCTCTGGCGATCTCTGGCGTGCCAAACACCGGAGCGAGGGCATGCAGCGAGGTGATCCCCTGAATCGTCCCAGCGGTGTCCGCAGCATTCTGCAGCGACAATATGCGGCATGGAGCCGGAGGCAGCATGGGGCAGCGACAACAGCAACACCTGGAAGTGAGAAGATGCCAGCGACAATTCGGGGAGGTAAGCCTGGCCGTGAGCTGGGAAGAGGGCTGCTTGCGAATCCAGCAAGGCGGCGGCCGCGGCGGGATCAAGCTCCCGAAGGTTGGGGCGGAAACAGAAGTCGTCGACAGCCTTGGACACAACACGCTGCCAACCCCATGTCGTGTCGAGTTCGGGTGCATCGTCCTCCTCGCGCGGAACGGCCGGAATTCGTCAACAGCTTCGGCCAAGATGGAGGGACAAACCCAACCGCAATCAAACAGGCACGAGGGAGGAGCGACTGTAGGACCTCGGGTACAGGCGAACCCCCCTCAGGATCCCTCAGGAGTGTCAACCAGCGCGCCCTAAAGTCCTAGAGGCTAAGACTGGCAGTGCATCGGCGCAGTCAGTCAGTCAGTCAAAGCCTCGTGTACAGTGACACATGGGCATGGAAGGAACAATTAGTTCCCGAAGCAAAAAGATTGTACACGTTGTCGCCACACGTTCGGTGGAGACGCCCATAAACGCTTCAACTCATCAAAATCTCCTGCCACCTGTAGAGCTAACTGAAACACCTGGGAGGTCCACACCTGTTTGGGGCGGCCTCGACATCTCGGTTTCATATGACCTTGGAGCTGATACGAACCCTCCTCAAAAACACATGTTCGCATGACGTCCGAGGAAGGAAGCGCAGCAATCTTGCCAATGAGCTGCAGTTGTCTGTGCACCAAAATTTTGGAATATGGTTTGGCCACAGCTTGTTGCAGAACCTCCACGTTGGACACGCGGCTGAGAAAAGAGTGCGGGATTCCAAGAATCTTGCGTAGACATCGAGCCTGGAAGCCATCAAGTTTTCGAAGGAATGCCTTGTTCAGCCAAGCTGTGTGCAGGCAGTACAGCAACTGCGAGCCAATGCACGCATCGAAAATGGTGATTTTGCGACGCAAGGGAATGCTAGCATGTTTCCAAACTTTATTGAGAGCTTGAAAATCGGCCCTGGCCGAACCAAGCCGACGATTGAGCTCTGGCCCGATGTCCCCAGATATATCCAACAGACTACCCAAGTAAACCAAGGACGATTTACATTCAATAGGGTGACCGTCAGGCTTCAACACATTGAAGTCGCAGCGAATCGGCATGGCTTCAACTTTGCGCCAATTGAAACACAGCCCATAATCTCCGCCAGCTTTAGCAATGCAATCCATGTAAGTTGCAGCCCGGGATGTTGAAAAAACTACAACAACGGTGTCGTCTGCATACACAAGCTCATCGATTGCCAAGTCCGATTCAGAACGCGGCATGCGCAAACGCAAGTCGGCGGAAGCGTCGAACAGCAGCACGGTCATCATCATAGAGAACAGGAATGGAGACAGTGGACATCCTTGAGAAATCCCAAAAGCCTGCTTTCGCATTGAAGAATCTCGCCCACAATCATGAACTCTGAACTGTCTGTCGCTGTAAATCGCACGTACCACCTCTCGGAATTTCTGCGGCACACCGAATCGGAACAAAGCATGGGAAAGCCGGTCAGGATCCACGCTATCGAAGGCTTTTGACCAATCCAAAGCTAAGAACACCAGTTGGTCGTCCTTGTGTGCCAGTGTCTGTTCCAGTAAACGTCGTGCAACAAATATTGCGTCAGCTGTGCCTGTCTGGGAGCGGAATCCAAACTGTGTATGCCAGATTCTCGATTCTGCCCCAGCTGATTTCAAGCGACGAAGTAAAACCGAAGAGAAAAGCTTATAGCCAACGGACAGTAATGAGATTGGTCGATAATTCTCGCACTGACTAGCATCACCCTTCTTAAAAATTGCAGTGACCAATGCTTCATGCCAAGGCTCCGGAACATCCGCGAAATGCCAAACTCTGTTGCACAGTGCTACTGCCCAAGAGCATGCGCGAGAACCTGGTTTGCAAATGCTTTTCCAAAACTCGGGAGGCAGGCCGTCAGGGCCAGCAGACTTTCCATGTTTGAGGTTACGTGCAGCCTCAACCACCTCTTCAACTCCAATGTCCTCACATGAGACAGGCAATGTTGCGCCCATCACAACGTCAGAAACGGTAGCATTAACAGGTCGCTTGGACCATTGCACCGTCTCCAAAAAGGTGGCGAATGTATCGGCCCTTTCATCCGAATCCTTCAGCGAACCAGCCTCATCGCGTAAACAACCGTGCTTACGGCGGGAGCCTTTGCGCAATTTGCGGATTTGTTCCCAGTCACCTGTGCGCAACAAGTCTTCCAACCAAACACGACGATCACGACGGACAGACGCCTTGATTTCAGAAGTCAACTGCTTCTCCAACTCAAAATTGAAGGATCTTCTAGCAATGATGCGCCGATCAAGTAAAGCCAATGTATCGTCACTGATCCACGGGCGTTTAGCCTTACTACCACGTAAGCTCAAGCAATTGTCAGCCGCAACACGCATGCTGTTCGTGATATGAGAACAAAGATCGTTTGCGCAAAGCTTGTTGTGATGTTCATTGGCACAACTGTCAAGGGAGTCCTCAACCAATGCTGCAAACCTACTGCTCAATAACGTGTCAGTGCGCAAAGCCGAAGTGTTGATAGTTTTGACAACAGTTTGGATGCTTCTTTTGGGCACTTGTATGTTCAGCTCGGCAATCACAAGGAAATGATGTGATGCCAGTGGTACATCCATGCATGAATACAGCTGCGAGACACATTCAAGCCAGTCATGCTGCACCAACAAAAAATCAAGCTGTCCCAAATTCGCCGGAATAATCTCACTCGAAGGCTGTGCACCAACATTGTAGTACATGACCTGTTTGTCTGCTGGCTGTGGGAAAAAAGTATTCCCAACTAACAATCGGCAGCATTCGCAAAGCTCCAATAACAAGCTCCTGTTCGAATCGGGATCAAAATGCGCTCGCCCGTCTCCGAATATGTTTGGACCAATAAAATGTGGGTCTGAATCTAACTTGGCGTGCAGACGTGCATTGCAATCTCCGAAAACAAGCAAAGGGCCATGACAAGAACGTGATAACAACCAGTGCGCCAATTGTTGAAAGAATGCCTGGCGATCATCTCGTGGACGGCCGCTGTGCGGTGCGTAAATACTGCAGATGGTAGCCTTTCCCCCGGAGACCCGAATCTTCAACGACGTCATGCGGGAAGACCGTTGGCAGAAACTGACAACACATCTACGGCAAACTGGTGCAATAAGAAAGCCTACACCAGCTGTGCTAGCAGGCCCGTCCGCTGCAACGCCCGATAAAATCAGCAAGAAACCATCGTCAGTGACCTCATATGTGGACTCGGTACGATGAGTCTCTTGCAAGCAAAGAATCCCAATCCCAAGTCGGTGCATGTAAAACTGCAACTCCACAATTTTAGCGTCGGTGAGCCCCTCAACGTTCCATGTGCCCACCACCAAATTCCGCGAAGCAACTCGTAAACGACCACCTCGAAATCCATCAGGTGAATTTAAGCGGTGACCTTCGTCACCAGCTGCGCTTGCACATCCTAAGTGTGAAACTGTGTCCATGCCCATGTGTCGTGACCCCTAATGCGGGGTGGATTTGCTTTTCGACTTGCCTAGTCCCTTCCCCATGTGCTTCTGCAGGATGGATTGCGATCGCGCAATGACCTGTCCAAGCTCTTCACTTTGCTGCAACTCCGCCCACTGAGCCCAATCATCGGCCCAATTAAAGATCAAGCGACCCTCGCCATTGGCAATCTTGATGACAAGCTTCGTTCCGATGTGCATGCAAGTGAATCGTCATTGATGTGAATCTCTTGTTTCCAAAAGCCCCATTGAGCAAGCTGCCATCTCAAACCCATAAGGAAAAGCTTTCGAGCACGCACAGGCACGGGTAGATCCTGCGTGGCCCAAACCGCCGAATCGCCAATCTTCAAAGAGCCACTGCGTAGCAAAGCAACTGCTGTGTCACGATCTACGACGGAAGCAAACTTCACAAAGAGCAAGCCTTGGAACTTTTCCAACTTGACATACGTGCTGATGATACTCGGACCCCGCATGGATACCAACGTGTTCGTCACCCACGTTGTTGCTGACTGCACGTCCTGTAATGCTGCGAGGCCACCCACGACCATGACTTTCGCTGGCTCGGGCTTGTCGGTGTTGGGGGAAAAGCGCAAGCCATCAATTTGCAGTTGCAAATCCGCAATTTGCCCTTCGACGGAAAGACTATGCTCCGATGTGCGCGAACGCGGTGTAGCATCCTTGGACGCCAGCAGCGCCTCCATCTTCTCGATTCGGTCACCATGATTTTTCAACTGTTGGTCGATATTGTCCACCCGGTTGCCAAGCACTGTCTCCATGCCCGACAGCCTAGCATCCAGAGGAGAAATGCCCATCCGAATCTCATGACGCACGATTTCGGCAATAGCCCCGGCGGAAAGGCCCACGTTTTCGTCGAGCGACGGCTGGAGCTCATCGTCCAGCTCATTCAAAGGCGATTTTGACTGTTCTCTCTTCCTCACCCTCCTTTCTGGCGTCATCGATGTCATCGCACCGGCGTGCAGTGAAAAAGAGATCACTGGAGGCACCGACACGCCAGCGACCCCTATGGCGGCAATCACGCAGTAACAACTTGAGCCACTTGAGCCAAAAAGGCTTGAGCCAAAATAGCATAAGCGGCCGGTGCATGGCGTGCGGCACCGCGAAGTCCCACGCCCCTATAGCGCAAGGCAAGCTGGGCCCGAGCAGCGGCTACAGTAGTAGAGGCAGCCCACCTGAATTCTCGGAGCACAGCAGCGTGTCAAGGCCGGCCACTGCATCATACTGCATCATCGTGAGCGGCAGCATATGCTGTGCGAGCACCTGCTCCATGGGCCGGAGCTCCCGGTGCAGGTCATGCATAGTCATGCACGGCCCGAAGAAATTGGATGATGCGGTGTGCGCGGTGTGATTGCTCTCCGGCGCACCAAAGGTGGATAAACCAGGTTGCGTGCGTACCTGCAAGGTGTGCACCAAGGCTTCGGCCCCTGCCCGCGACGATAACGCACATTGGTGCGCCGCCAAAACCCCAAATCACGGAGCAAGCGGACTCTTCGGTCCGTGGGGCGGCAGTGTCAATCTGGAGGGGGGGGGCGCCAGATTGACACGGGCCGCCTTCAGATTGACACTGCCTGCCGCCCCCCCCCCGCCCCCGATTGACAGTGTCAATCCGCCCCGGCGGCGGGCGGGGCAGATTGACATTGAGATTGACCTCGCCCTGCTTCCGCCCCCTGCCACCTCCCCAGCCCCCTACCCCCTGCCCCTGCCCCGCCCCCCTTCCCCGCCCTCTCCCAGCCCAGCACAGCCCAGCCCAGCCTAGCACAGCCCAGCCCAGCCAGCCTAATCCTGGCCCTTTATTTACACTCAAACTGTCAGATTGACACCGCCTCACCCCCCCTGCTTCTGTCCCCTGCTTCCCCACCCCCTTCTTCCTGCCCTCCAGCCCCCTACCCCACCGCCCTCCAGATTGACACTTGCTGATGCCCGTAAAGTCTCGCAGCGGCATTGCACTTGGGGACGAGAACGACCTCGTTCGAACAATTAACATGTGCAGTGCCTTGGATTTTTCGAGGGCTGGTTATTGTTTGTTTCTCTGTCAATGCAAGCCAAAAGGTGCCACTGCTACGCAAGTCTTGCCATTTGTCTTGTTGGAATCCAGGATCTGGTGGGGATTCTTTTCGTTCCGAAAAAAAGATTCGGAGTGCAAGTTAAACCTGAATATCCGAAAGGCTAGCTGTTGTACATTCTAACGGTCATATATCTTCTGCGCTAGGGAAATCTATAATGTACAAATCTGTGCCTCTCACAACCAGCAGAGAGCATCAAAGTTCGAGAAATCGTCTCGCCATGAAGATCGTGCAGCTTTTTGGGTCCAATTGCCCTGCCGCTGCCATCTGCGAACGGCAACCAATTTTGCATCCCACATCATCTTGGCACGATTTTTCCCGCACCTTTTTTAGAACAGCACCAAAAGTACTTGGTCCGGTCGTTGTGCTTGCTGCAGTCCACGGGTTAGGCGGGGCGGGCTGAAAGGCGGCTGTTGGCGGGTGCCTGCAACCAGGTGCGTCAGCCAGGAGCTCGTGCAAAGCGGTGGGTCACCAGGAAGATCGGCTCGCTGCGCGTTTCTCGAGGCTCAAGCGACAAATAGACGCACCTCGGGACGCCCGTGCACTTTGAGATGCTCGCGCCGGGGCAATCATCAAAAAAAATGGCAGGCTCTCGCAAAAAGCTCGACATTCCACGACGGCGTGCTTGAGGAAGTGCTCCGCTTTCGAGCGGCCCGACGTCTTCCCCAATTTAGGTTTGTCCGACGGCAAGTCCTCCACGAAGCGGGTTTGCATCTTTCCGACCTTCTCGAACGAGGTCGGGGTCGGCTCCACCTTTTCGGTCGGGTCGAAAATCACTTCCAATTTTTGCAAACTTCGCGCCATCTCTTCCACGGTTGGGCGCCACCGGCAGGCATCGCTGAGCTTGGCGAGGATGTGTGGCGCAGTGACAAGCCTCCGTCAGAACGATCCTGATTCTCCCATCCGCCTCCCCACAATCTTGCCCGTTCGAGCGGCAGTGCAGACACAGGTGCGCAAGGTGGCGGGGCAGCAGATGCGGCCTCAACCTCGAAGCCGCCGCCGCCGCCGCCGCTTTTTTTTTGCACACCCGAACCATCTTCCGCCTGCACTCAGGCGTCGGCCCGCAACGTCGCATCCATAGCGGCTAAGGCCGATGGGGGGAGGCGGTGCATCCTTCGCCTTGCTTAACAGCGCTCCCTGTGTGCAGCGCTCCGCAAGCGCAGGGTTTGATCGCAAATGATCGCAAGATATCGCAAGCGATGCATGCAGTGCAGCACACCCCGCGCATGTTCGGTCAGCTTCGGGACACAGCCGTCGCGGCTTACAGGCTACCAGTCTCGCTGGACGCACGCAGCATGACACAGTGCATACGATACAGGTACTGGATGGATCGGCCACAAAACTGGTGGTTGCTTTTTGGTGGGATGCGGCGGACACATGCCGGCACGAGCAAGCGGACCTACCTGGCCAGCATGAAGTCGCCAGCCGCCCATAACATTCGTCGGCAGCTTGGCCCCTCTCGTCGCCCAACACAGCGGCTAGCTCAGCGTCCATGCATGTGACCAGCACGGCCCTGCAGATCACCTCGGGAGCTGAGAAAAAGAACGCGCAGCGAGGTGATGTGAGAGACTGTGAGCTACGAGGACCTATAGAGGACCGCTGGAACGACGCTTGGGCCGCTTCGGTGGACTTGCAGATATTGGTCAGAGGGCCAAGTGGGAGCCGCCGTGTTGAGCGAGGATGAGCGAACACGCAGAGCACATCACAGGCATGTATCAGACCACAGTGCAAAGCTTGAGAAGCAGATCAATGATTTGTTGATCCGTCGAGGCCGGACGTCTTCCCCCCACCGCCTTTATTCCATGGCTTAGAAGCAGTTGACGAGAAATCTGCGGTCAAAAAGCTGAAATGCAGAGCAACTTCTTTTGGAACTTCGAGATGCCCGGTAGGCTTTGACCGAGTCTTCACGAGGCCGAAATTGAAGCTACCTCAGGCCAGTCACTGATTTCTTCAAGGAACATCACGGCACATTTAAAAAAACTCCGCTGGTCGTGCCGAGGGCTGCGCGCAAACGTTCTTCAAATTTCTCGGTTTGCAATGCCTGGCATGCACACAATTTCGTAAAGTAATTAGTACTATTGGTCTGTTGAGCAGCAAGACTCTTTGTTTGCAGATTCGGCGAGGTCTTGACATGAAACTTGCAGCAAAAGCGAAGTCGGCTGGCTGTCGGCTCCGTTCGTTTCTCTGTCACTATGTACTACAGCGCAGGTCGTGTCAAATGATGCTGATGCGGCTGCCGCTGTGTAGCTGTGGTGCTTGGCTTGTGCCTCCCCCTCGCCGGGACACGCGCTCGAGCGTTCGCACGAAGATTCAAATCGAAGTTCCAGGCGCCTGGAACTCGAAGGACACCTGCTGGCCGCCATCGTCTTGGAACGCCAAGCGCTGCTCCAGCTGCTTCCTCAGATAGCCGCCCATCTCGGCTCTGTGACCCTCGACTTCAGCTTTACCTGGGCATCGCTCATGGCAATCTCGTGACATCGGGGATCCGACACTGACAAGGCTTTTTCGCATGCGGCCCTTGCAAGCTGCGCCTCCGGCAGAGCTTCAGTAAACGAAACGTAGCGGAGGCAAGAGATGCAAGAGGCACCCTCGCACTGTCGGTGGGGCGTTTGTGCCTCCAGTTCTCGCGTCTCCTTCTCGAGGCTCATCGCCTCAAAACGGAATCTCCGTTAAGACGATGTGCAAACTGCGGAATGTTCTGACATCGAAGCTTGCCTTCTCCTCTTGGCTGATTCGCCGCCAAGCCTGAAAGGCAAGTGGGCGGGCGACGGTCTGTCGACTCTTTGAGTCAAACGCTTCCATCTGAGGAGACTGCCGCAAAGACTACCCGCCCAGTGAAGGGCTGCCTGGACAGAGCCTGACGCCCGAGGCTCCGATGTGCCGTCTGCAGCGAACAGAGCGCTGTGGCCGCAGACCTGCTCTGCCGAGAAGAGCGTCCTGGCGTGGGGGTCGTCCTCTGATGGCCTGGCAGTCACTTGACCTCGGCTCCGATGGCTGGCAAAGCTGGGAGGCCTTCGAGGCTTGAGGCCCCAGCTCCAAGCCTCGAAAGCCTGTCAGGAGTCCGAGTCGCTTCGCTTCAAAGCTCCGAGTTCGGCCGCTCGCCTCACGTACGTGTTGCCAGTGTTGCCGCCGTAGCTTGGAGCTGGCCTCGCCACACGTCGAGTCGAGGTGGAGCAGGGAGCACGGAGGCATGCGGAGGCACGTCGTACGGGCTGAGAGCTGAGCAGCCCAGGATGCCCAGCGGCGTTGATTTGCCTCTGCGAACTCTGCCGACTCAGATACTGATGGAGCGCATGTCAGCTATTGTCACCATCCATCCACATCAGACTGCTCTGAAAGCCAACCCGCATCAACCCGCGAGCCTCACCACAGCGACGCATGTCCTGCATCAGTGCCAGGCGAGATCGTTGGTCATGCCTGTCTGACTTCCCTACACTCACTATCACTACACCCTTCGGTTCGCCTCCTGAAGCTTCAGGTTCGATGCTTCTCTTCGCAGAATGCGCTGTTTCGCAGCCCTGGGAAGAGTTTCGAGAATCCAACGAGAGGGCACACTACCGAGGCACGAAAAGTCTGGGCTTCCTCGCATGTAAGCAGCCTGGCGTCTCCACCTGGGTGGACGACATCAAGTGACGACCGATGTCGAATGTGCCGCTGGGAGCCGCTGGGACGTGCACCAGGGAAAGCAACGTTTTACCTGCAGGGAGACCGCAGCTGGGGTGACCAAGCTCAGAAGCCCAAGAATCTTGGAATCCCGGCAAGCAAACGTCCAGACGAACAACTGTCCGAAGCGTCTCGTGCACCGAAAGTCGCAGACATCGACAAAGACCTCACGTGGCATCTCTGACCACCCTACAACGGACATCTGTATCATAAGTGCCGTCCATGGAGCACGGTGTCTGCCATCCGCACCTCTGGTGAAGCGCTGTCGCTTGTGGCCGGCTTCTATTTCCCGAGCAAGGCCTAGGCCTAGGCCCCGCCTAGGCCCGGCCGAAACCCTCCTCCCGGCCATCCCGGCCTTCTCCCCGCGCAGCATGTCCATGGATGTCAACTGCTGGCGCTCGACTTGCTTCCGAGCCTCAAGGCCGTTGCTGCAAACTTCGGCAGATTAAAAGTGAATCATCGGCATTGATGAAGAAAGCCTCCGGCTGTCTCGATCACCTTCTGTGCCGTGAGCAGCGCTGCGCTTCGAGCCCAGGCCCCGAAACAAACCTAGGCTGATCACGAAAAACGCCGAGCACAGGCCCAAGCAGGGGTTTCCAAGTTTCCGGCCCGGACACAGCAGACACCATGCCGGAAATCATCCAAACTGGACTGAACCTGAGCCCAGAGTGTGTCCGTGTGTCCGTGTGTCGGTCGGTCTGTCGGTCTGTCGGTCTGTCGGTCTGTCGTCTGTCGGTCTGTCGGTCTGTCGGTCTGTCGGTCTGCCGGTCTGTCGGTCTGTCTGTCTGTCTGTCTGGCTGCCTGCCTGCCTGTCTGTCTGTCTGTCTCTGTCTGTCTCTGTGTGCGTGTGTGTGTGTGTGTCTGTGTGTGTTTGTCCGTGTGTCTGTCTGTGTGCGGCAGAAAAAAGCATTGCTCTAACGAATGTACAGTTTGCTCTGATGCCATTTCTTACCTCTCCTTCCTGCTGACGTAGTCATTGGCTTTCAGCGATTGTTCATCATGTCGGCGGACCGTAGCAGATCTCGGTCTCCGCAGATTTCATGGCGGTGCTATTGGTCCAAAACTACGGCAGCCGATGGTCAAGACCTTTGGTGGAAAACATGGTTTCCTGCCACACAACAATGGATCCAAGGTCACCTTACTGCGGATATGCTTTGGAACCAAAGCCCCAAATCGGCTGAGACTACTCCTACACCTGAGGACACGGCCGCATGTTCCCGGTCGCCTCGAAAACGAAAGCGAGACTCGTCTCCGTGAAAGCCAGTTTTTGCATGCAATTAATTTTGCCAGTCTCTATATTGGCCTTCATCTTGAACAGCATGTCAGATGCATACCCAACAATTGGGATGCAGAGTCATGGCTCATTTTCACTTTCAGTCTGAGCCAAGATGCAGTTTGTGTACAATTTGCAATGTCTTTGAACAGAGTTTGAGCCTTAGAAGGCTACCCCGCTTGCGAGGTGCGTGTGTGGAACACCTGTTTGCCAAGGTTTATCAGTCATGTTTTTGTTTCTGCAGGGGGACGTGGCATGAGATCAGGGACCACGTCCCGTGAAGCTGGCTGATCTCATGGGAAGCAGAGCTTGGCCAGCTCTGTGTACCTGCACTAAAGTGTTAGAGATTGCAGCAGAATGGCACTGGGGCCAAGCCACAAGCCCCATATGAGTGCAGATTCGTTTGAGGCAAGAGGTAAAACCTAAACCCTCTTAGAATCCTGAACCTCTGCATGTACCGACTGAGAACAATGAGTTTCGCATCAGTCCAGAGGGAGGATTGCACGAGTGCACGAGTGTCTGAGTCTGTGTGTGTGTGCGTGCGTGCGTGCGTGCGTGCGTGCGTGCGTGCGTGCGTGCGTGCGTGCGTGCGTGCGTGCGTGCGTGCGTGCGTGCGTGCGTGCGGGCGTGCGTGCGTGCGTGCGTGCGTGCGTGCGTGCGTGCGTGCGTGCGTGCGTGCGTGCGTGCGTGCGTGCGTGCGTGTGTGTGTGCGTGCGCGCGTGCGCGTCTGTGCACGCGTCTGTGCGCGCGTCTGTGCGCGCGTCTGTGCGCGCGTCTGTGCGCGCGTCTGTGCGCGCGTCTGTGCGTGTGTCTGTGCGCGCGTCTGTGCGCGTGTCTGTGCGCATCTGTGCGCGTGTCTGTGCGCGTGTCTGTGCGCGTGTCTGTGCGCGTGTCTGTGCGCGTGTCTGTGCGCGTGTCTGTGCGTGCCTGTAAGTGCCTGTAAGTGCCTGTAAGTGCCTCTGCGTGTCTGTGCATGTCTGTGAGTGTCTGTGCGTGTCTGTGCGTAGTCAGTCCGTCTGTCTATCGGTCTGTCTGTCTCTGTCTGTCTCTGTCTGTCTCTGTCTGTCTCTGTCTGTCTCTGTCTGTCTCTGTCTGTCTCTGTCTGCGTCTGTCTCTGTCCCTTCCTCTGTCTCGCTGTCTTTCTGTCTGTGTGTCTCTGTGTCTCTGCTTGTGTCTGTGGGTGGGGGGGTGCCACGACTGTCCTTTGCGAGGCTGAGCTGCGTGGGCAACCTTTCGAAGGCTTCTAGCATGACGGACCTGCCAAGATGTGGAAAATCCAAAATGTGGAACACATGATGACACGATATTGGGGACTCCACCACTCGGTGCTCCGCCACCTCAAGTTCTGAATGCCGATGCCAGGTGATCCTGGCACGACTCTCAAACAGAACAGCGAAGACAGCATGACACTAATACTGCCGCTGTCTGTCACATGGACTCTCTAAGTGTGCCGGGGAAGGCTGAGTTTGGACGGCCAGCTGCCAGCATTGCAGTGCTTTGCAGAGGGCGAGCTGATCCAACCACTCGCCGGTCTTCAACTCAGCACTTAGAGATCACACGGGTCGCGTGTGACGTGCCGTATCGTGCCTCGAGTGCCGCACACAGAGATTCGTAATCTCGACCTCTGCCCGCTGCTTTCTGAAGTGTTTTAACTTGCTCTGCCTCAGTCAGTCATGTCAGTCAGGGGACTGTTTCGTCAACTGTGCGCAAGGCACAGGACGGCATGCTTGCAAAATCTCGCAAGGCACCCTTGCTCGCATTTCTCGCTTCGAGAGGGGCTGGCTGGAAGCAGGTGCAAGCTGCTCCCATTGGCGCTTCATGCACCAAGTCAAGCGAGACCAGGAACATCACCTCCATCGCGTCGCCGGATGGCTTTGACCCGCGACAGGTTCCCTGGGACTAGGAAGCACTTCAAGTTTCAGAGTGCCAGTCCGGGGACCAGTCCACATATATTTCAATCCAGCGGTTGCCTCAGCTCGACTTGCTCTGGGTTGAAGACCTTTGAAGACCGTACACGTTGTTGCGCTCAGTTCGAAGCCGAGATAGGCCCTTTGCTTCTCGCGACGTGCTCGGCAGGCCTCCTTTAGAACTGAAAAGCGGTAGACGGTAGATGTCCACATCGGTCTCTCGGTGCACCTCCCAATCCTTGAAATACACGAGGGCATGGCCGGTGGGCAAGTTGTCGCTAGACCTCCTCGGCAAGAGCAGATCGCCCGTCCCGGCTCGCAAGCAATGACAGTGACGTAGTGACCGCCAACCTGATAATCTCTACATCGCCCTTGACATTGCTTTCGCCAGCCTGAACATGCACGTCAAGGGTCTCTTGGATCCCTTCACAATCACATCCCCTTCCAAGCCCCCGATTGGCTAAGGTCTTTGCTAGCTCGAAACCTTGCAGAAAAGCACGGATGTCCGCCTGGCATTCATTGCCAGCTCTGGTCATCAACCGGTCGGAATCAGAGGGGTTTACAAGCGAAAATGCGTGCAAGTGTCCTCGGACGCGGAGAAAGGCAAGCCCCGCAGTCGAAGGCGTGGTGACCAGGACACGCCTCTGCACAACACACTCCAAGAGCCCACCATCAAGCGAAAGCCCAGCACTGCATCCTCTTACGGTCGTTGCGAAGGATCCAGCGTTGCTTCTACAATTCTATGCATATGGCCATGCAGATGGTCCATGCTCATCAAGACTTAAACCAGCTGCTGCTCGTGTCTCTATAGCCATAACCATAACCAATGAAAGTACAAACCAACGTCCTTCACAAAGTGGCTCTGCTGCATCCTCGCCAACACCAATTACCCCAAACTCGAGTTTCTCTGAGATTGTTCCGCCATGAGACGAGCTGCACGCAATGGAACGGCCAGCTGGTAGAACCCACCCCGCCACTTAGTGCTCATTGAATTTTGCTGTGATGCCTGCTGGAGGGAAATGATCCCGAGTTCCTCCCTGGGTCTGCTGCGATTATCAAAGGGATTTGACGATCCAGTCTTTGACTGTTTGCAGGGCCGGGCCCTCGCCCAGATCAAGTTCTGGCTTCAGGCACAGGAGCCCAGGCGCTCAAAGCCAACAGCCCATTTGACCTCTGTGGAAGGGGAAGGCACCAGCACAATGACTCCCAAACTGTCACTCCAACTGAGCCACACCGAATCACGCCGCCACCACCACCACCCCCGCACGCAAGCACGAACGCACGGACTTGCCAAGTAGTGCCGTCCAGGCTAAAGGATGTTTAGTATGTTGCAGAGCGCAGCTCAGCTGCAGAAAACGTGCTCAGCAAGGCTTCAAGGATTCCTCCTAGACTTCCCCGCGGTAGGTGACTTGGCTCTGCCTTTCGCCATAATGCATGCAATGCAGAGATCGCAATGGAATCACTGGCAGCGTTGTTTGGTCTACCTGCCCTGAACTCAGCCATCGAAATAAACAGAGAGACAGGCAACATATCTAATGACCCGGAACGGAACATGTATGAACTACGCCGACCAAACCAAGCAAATTGGAGCTGGGCCCAAACATCTGAACTATGGGTCGAACGATGAAGGAAATGCATCTCAAAAGCAAACACCTGAAAGCCAAGGAGGTACCCGAATCTGAGCACGCATCGATGCATGCCGAGTCAAGCTTTAATCTGGGGCCGCGGCCCCTGCTGTAAAGATGTCGTCTGCACCAGATTGCTTCCATGCATGACCGCGGTGCCAACATGGCACCATGCCGCTACCGGAACATTCGAAGGTCTAAGTGACAAGAATCCGGTCATACCTTTTTAAGTTCCTGGTAGCCCCCTTGCGCTTGCTATCTGTGCACTTTGCACAAACATTGGTCAAATATGCGATCAGTCTAGCCGTGGAGATGAAAGGCCGATACTTCGATAAGCAGAAGTCGTTTCCACTGATCCAGCAAAGGCTGAAGCTGTGCGAAAGCACGGCTTGTTCGGAGCTGGGTCTTTCCAAATGCTGAGACTGAGGCAAACCTTCCGCCACTGCCTCAGTCGGAGAAGTCCAGTCGCCGTCGTTTGCAGAGTTCGAGGCGATGCTGCTCAGCTGAGCAGCCGCTGAGCAGCCGCTTAAAAGATTGTCTTCATGATGCTTTTCAACGGCCCGGCTCCCGAAAAGGTAAGTCCACTGCCAAGGCCCACCCTTGAAGCACGGCCCTCGTTGTCACGTTACACGTCGCTGCGGCGGACCATCGCGCATGTAAACTGCTCTGGACATCACTCCTACCGAAACGTGTTGCTCAGTTCCGGGCCGCACGTCCTCGGCCTGCATGCTCCCGCCGAGGACGTCTTGCTGTGTGATCCACGCCTTACTTCAGAACTCGCCATGGGGTGCACATTCACATACGGGCCGCCTTGAGCTGACTGCTTGTCTGCATAATATGACTGGGATTCGCACTCATGCCTATGGACATGTTCTGATCGGAAACTGTGCTCAACCACTACGATAATATGAACCGCACTGGAGCGAGCTTTTTCCGGCAACAGGAAACGGCAAATGGAAAGGCCTAAGCTCAGCGAAAAAAACTGGCCGGCCGTAATTATCAAAATTGGTCAACTTGTGTAAACCCCTCGTAGCCAAACGGCCAATGCATTCAATGCAAAGGCAATGTTGGCAAACACGTGTTCCAAAATGCGTCCTATGCTAACAGTTAAAAGCATACGGTCCGCTCTGCTTGACAGGCGGCATGCAAAACTTGCAATGCTGGATCCTTTGCGTCGGACACTCCGAACAAAATCTGGAGGTGCGTGTACACCAGAACACACAACGTCAACAGTTGGCCCTCGATGCGGATGCATGCGTTCAGATGAATGAGCGGGGTGCCCGAAACAATGACTGCTATCTACTCACAGCACTGACTGCCTACATACGGAAAATCGAGCATAAGATTATCACAAGGTCAAGGACTGTAGGGCTTGGAAGAATGGTGAAGGACGATCCGCAACTTACCATCCTCGGTCCGCTTGTAATTGAAGCTGTACTCAACCTTGGACACGTTGCCATCGTCGGCGCTTGTGAAGTAGTAATTACCCATGGCAGCTGCAACGTTGCCACTGATCTCGATCTGGTGGTTCTCAAAGACAGCAGCGGACCAACCCTTGCCACCATTGATGGCAAAGCCGCCATCCTCTGCATAACCATTCGCAACGTTTGAGTTACCCACAAAGTACGACAAGGCACCAGTCGCATTTGGTCGAAACTGGTTCACGGACGCCAACGTTGGTTTGAAGAGCACGTTGGAGTGGCCATAGCCGTAAAGTTCGGCTGCTGCTGCTCCTGCCACTGCCACGAAGTCGCCACCAGCAAGGTAGGTGTTTGAGATGTTCACGACAGCATTGGCCCAGGCATCCTGCACAGCAAGCACTTCTGTCCGAGAGATGGGCATTTCGTACGGCTTGGAAGAATGGTGGAGGAAGATCCGCAACTTACCATCCTCGCTCCTCTTGTAGCCGAAGCTGTACTCAACCTTGGAGACTTTGCCATCGTCGGCACTGGTGAAGTAGTAATTACGTTTGGTTTTGCGATGCGCTCGGCCCTCAGACCTCACGCACCCCCGTCAGGGCCCTCATAACCACTCTTGCACTTGCCGACGTATGTTGGCCAGCCACTCCACCACTTCAAGAGCTCGCGCTTGCGAGTCCCGCTCCATGGGCCATCCAAGGCGCCGTTGAAGAGGATCATCAGGTGCACGAGGCCTGTTTCCACCCATCGCTTGACACCGCCATGCCAGATGATCCCACCCAGCTGGCTCCCGGTCCCCGCACCACTTGCAAGATTGAGCTGCATGCCCGTGACGACGCGTTTCATAGTACGCCGTAGATAAGGCTGCGCCACATAGCACCGCCTTACGATGACCACTGCCTCCTTGAAAAATTCGCCGTGCCCTGCCGAGTCGCTCTGTGCTGTAGCCGACCGCCTGGAGCACGTTGGCATCTCGCCGGTTCGAGTTCAGGAACGCCTGGTACCGCTGGTAGCGCCAAGTCTCTCGCACTTGATGCTGAAAACCTCGGAGCTGTCCTGGAGCGCCGAGCACAGCCTGGAATCCTAACTCTGCATGCTGCCACGCCCATGGATGAACCTGCAACGGGCAATGCCACCCCAAACCCTCCAGGAAACGCCGAACATGTCCATACCACGTGCCCTCCTTGCCCGACCAGGTCGAGCTAGGACCGATGGACCTATAGAATTCCCACAGCGACTGAGCATTAGCAACAAAGCTAAACTGCAAGCCATGTCCGTCAAGAATAAGCTGCAAATCAGGACTGCCTACACGATGCACGTAAAAAGCCTTGCGATACCACTGCTGAAACCTGCAAGTCACACGCATGGTAGGAGCTTTAAACAGGTGTCCCCAGCAAGCTTTCGGTATGACATGGCTGATCCACAGTCTCCGCTTGACCTGGCAAGCGAGGGTAGTGATTGCAAGTCGCCGCGCCCTGTCCTCAGCACTGCGGACACGTTCATCGAGTTGCTCCCGCTGTGCCCGGCGCAACTTTTGAGTAAAATCGACTCCCAACACAGTGGCCTGCTCGACGATGTGTCCTGGATGCACGCCCTGCGCGCGCACCTCAGCCATCTGGCATTCTCTCCGGCAAACGACTTTCACCTTCGCGTCATTCTCCTCCCACCCCATGGTTCTGGTCCAGCGTCGCCAGTGTGCACGGCCCTCGGCGACGATCTCAGCGGTGCGCGCGACAAAGCTGCGGTCGTCAAGGAAAACAGCAAGTGTCAGGTCACGAGGATTGAACGTGTGGAGCATGTGGAGCACGGGTCCTAGCATGGCAACGTTGAGACACAGCGGGCACATCCCATCCCCTTGCGGCAGACTGGAGCTCACAAGCTCCGGCACAGCTTGACTGCTCCTGCCAATCTGTATCCAGCGGTATTGCTTCGTCCACACGGTCGCCAACGCCGAGGTAATCGACGCTGGCAATCCGGCTGATCTCATGAGCTCAAGACCTAATGTGGGATCCATCCGATCGAATGCTTGCTTCAAGTCTAATGAAACAAGAATGCCTTGCTCCTCGTGAAACTGCTTGGCGAGGTCCCGTACGGCCCCGAACAGCGAGCGACCCTTGACCGCTCCGTGTTGAGCGGCTGGCAGCAAATCATTCATCCACTGCACCATGAGGGGGTGTTTAGCCAACATGCTGCCTACTATGCGCCAAAAGCAAGAAAACACACTGATGGGCCGCATCTTGTCCACCGGGATGGAGTTGCTGATCTGGTCCACATCACATTTGGGCAAGTGGATTTGCCTCGCCCCACAGAGGATTTTGGGCAATTCTCCGCGTGCAAACCATCGAAGAAGCAGGCGGGCGTATTCCTCGTATATCTCCAACGGCAGGTGGCGAAGCTCGCTGCCGCTCCAACCATCCGGCCCAGCGGACCCCTCACCCAGATGAGCTGCCGCATTCTGCAAGTGCGCCCCAGTGACAATGTCTGCAAGCTCCGTGTTGTTAGCAAATGCAGCGCTGGGCCTGACATGAGCAGTCCAAGCACGAATAGCCTGCATCCTGTCAGGCAAAGGCCGATCCCATACGCGTTTCCAAAAGGCCTTCACTTCATGCAGTTGCTCCTGGACATCCTGAGTGAGTCTGCTGTGCCCGTCGTCCGTTCGAATCTGAAGAGCCGGAGGCCTGGCTATATCCTTTCTCGCAAGCCAATTGGTAGCAGCCTTACCGCACTGACTGACTCTGCGTCTCCATCTGCGTAGGCGCTCTTGCAAGCGCAACTGGAGCTCTCTGGCATAAGCCGCTTCAAGGTCGCGAACACGGTCCTGCCAGGTTGCAAGTCTAGGCACCCCCGTCGGCCAGCTACGAATCAACTTGTGCTCCAGCGCTGCAGTGTCGCTGAGGGGATTCCTCGTCCGCTGACGCAGGATCTCTCTGGCGAGTCCGGTGGCATTGCTGAGCCGCCTGAGGCGAAAGGTGTCCTGCACTTTTGTGTTGCGCTCCTCCACCACCACCTCGGGCCAAGAGCCCTTGGCTCTGCAGTGAGGCGGTTTGTGAACTGGCTGCCATCGGGCCTTAGCCTGCACACAAGCAGACTCGACCTTAGCGCAGAAGCTTCGCCACTCTTCTTCAGGTCCCGCAGGCGGCGTCGGTTCTTGGTCTTGCCACGCTCGTAGCACCGCCCGTTGCCACTCCTGCTTGCTGACAGCCTCCGGTTTGCTGAGATCGAGGGTGGGAGCAAAGGAGACAAGCGGAGTATCCATACTTCGGCCTTGTATCTTGCCCTGCACACACTTGTGATCAGACAGTCGATCTTCCCGGTAACTAACAGGTCCCTGAAGCATACCAGGCGGAGACAACACATAGTCGATGCAAGCGGAGCCGTCCCACCTGGAAGGCACATACTCAGAGCCATCATGGACGCCGCTGGCAATCAATCCCAAGTCATCCCACTCTCCGTGATCCTCGATGCTGAGATTGAAATCACCAACCATCACATAATTGCGCGTGAGCGCACTGCCCCGTGCTCGCTGAAGAAGTGCTCCGAAGCAGGTACTCTCAGCTGGTCTGTAACAGTTGAAGATGACCGTATCTCCCACTTGGACAGCCAAGAGCTCCCCATCCTCCAGGTTCCCTTCATTGACGCATAGCACGGACTTCAGCGTCTGACGCACCAGCGTGATTAGCCCCCAGCGTTCATAACCCACTCCCCTGCGAGAGGTAGCATGTGTGCCCAATCGCGTCCAAGCCACAAATCCGCCTCGAGCGGCCTTGTTCCTGTACTGCTGGGCCTTCCAAGCATCTAACCGGGCTTCCTGAAAGCAGATTACATCATAATCTCCCTGCGAAGCAAGCGTGTCCAATGCCAAGAAAGCGTTGTTAAAGCCCTGAACGTTCAACGATGCCCATCTCAGCGTGTGATGATGACGCGAGCTCGGACCTGGGTTCGACTCAATGTCGCCGTCGTCCAGGAGGTTGCGTCTCCATCCGCCCAACCGTCGCACCTCCCCGTGATCTAGCTTCCAAGCCTTACGGAGACATTGTCGCAGTTTTGTGGTGGCGCCTTTCCACAACTGTCGTCGCTGAGGATGCCGAAGAAGTTGCTGTCGACGACCTTTGCCTGGGCATCGCCCCGTGCTGCGCTGCGCGCGCGCGAAACCCCACCAGACAGTAGTGCACCTCTGACACGTGACATGGAACTTCGAAGTGTGTCGCAAGAAGCCGCTCCCAAACACAACAGGTTGATGCCCTTGACTACGGAGCTGCTGCTTGACTTCATCGCTTTGCACGTCGTCTCCCGTAGAACTGCCTTTGAAGCGGCGCTCAGTGCAGTGAATGCCCTGCTGCTTCCAA